ATAAAAAGTTATAGCCATTTAAAAAATTGAAACACTTCGTGTAACTGTTGAGTATAGACTTCCTGCACCATATATATTATATATATATATATATATATACGCATATAATATATATATGCTTTTTATTTATGTTTTAGCGAGTGATGGTCCCGGGATTTATCCCGTAATTGGTGCGTCTATTGCAAATACTTCTCAATTACCTGCTGATAAATTACTGCCCGGTCAAATTGCCCGCATCACAACTGGTGGTCCTGTGCCTCCTGGTGCTACTGCTGTAGTAATGGTTGAAGACACTACCCTAATACGTGCTTCTGCTGATGGTCTTCAAGAGGAATCCGTTGAAATTCACGTTCAAGTTAATGATGGTGCCAACATTAGAGAAATTGGTTCTGATACTAGCGTTGGTTCCATTGTTGCGAGAAAGGGTGAACTTTTTTCGGCTGTAGGTGGGGAAATCGGCGTTTTGGCCTCTGTGGGTGTAAAAGAAGTATGCTTATTATCTTTATTATTTTTTCTAGTTTAGTATCTTTAATATATTGATTTTCAATTTAAATTTTGTTACCCGTAAATGAATTTAGGTTTCTGTATATAGACGTCCAGTAATCGGCGTTTTGTCTACCGGAAATGAAGTTATCGATCACAAAAGTACTTCGGAATTAAAATATGGTCAAATTTTCGATAGTAATCGTCCTACTTTATTTTCAATTGCAAAAGCTACTGGTTTTGAAGTCAAGGATTTTGGAATCGTTGTTGATGAGTATGAGATCTATCACATTTATCACATTTATAACATTTATAACATTTATCATATTTATAACATTTATCATATTTATAACATTTATCACATTCATAACATTTATCACATTCATAACATTTATCACATTCATAACATTTATAACAATTAATTACTATGATATTGTTACTTATTAATGCAAACGGTCTGATCGTTTAGTGCAAAAGAGTTAGAGAAAACGTTAAGCACAGCTTTAACACAGGTTGATGTGCTAGTCTCAACTGGTGGTGTATCTATGGGCGAATTAGATTTATTTAAACCTACTTTGGAAAAATCTTTGGGTGCGACTATCCATTTCGGAAGAGTAAAAATGAAGCCCGGGTAAAATAGTTAGGTTAATGAAATTTTCTATTATCGCATAAACTATATTAATATTATGGTTTTTTTTCTGATTAGAAAACCAACTACTTTTGCCACACTTCCAGGAACCTCTGGTGCTCCTGAAAAGTTAATATTTGGTTTGCCTGGAAATCCTGTCTCTGCTACTGTTACTTTCTATTTGTTCGTCTTACCTGCTCTTCGGAAATTAGCTGGTTATGAAAATTGGAATTCCCCTATTTTACCTGCTGAGGTAGATACTTAGTTCTTTAAATTAACTTCTACCATAAATGGAAAACTAAAATCATTCGGATTTTTGAATACTCCTTATTATGCTACTTTTTTTTTTTTAAAAAAAAAATTTATTTTTTAAAATTTATTTTTTAAAATTTATTTTTTAAAATTTATTTTATAATTACCAGTTAACGGACAAGATATCACTTGATCCTCGTCCTGAATATCATCGAGCTGTGATTTCATTTGATCACTCAAAAGGAAAATTTATGGCAATTTCCACAGGACATCAAATTAGTAGCCGAATGCTTAGTTTGAGAAGTTGTAATGCTTTGTTAAAATTACCAGAAAGAACTGATCAATGTAAAGAATTAGATAAAGGATCTGTTGTGGATGCTATTTTGATTGGGCAATTGAGTTAAGATTAATTTTGTGATTATTCTATTTGTGATTTGTATCATTTTTTATCAGATTATGATATATTTTTTTACAAATATATTGTCTTAGATTTGATTCCTCAATCTTTTTTAAAATCAAAAATATAGCTTAAATATTTAGTTTTTTTTTCAACTTTATAATGAATAAATTGTAAGATATTTTTAAATTTCGAATTTGTTAATTTTAATTTATACGTTTAAATATTTCGTTCATGCAATTTTTTCCTTGTGTCGCAGAACGAAAATACTATCTTCAGTCATTTAACTTATGACTTGTGCGATTTATATTTCGATACAGTAATTTACCAATAATTATGATAGCTGAAGTGAAATTCTGGGTCTATTTAATATAAATTTTTACAATTCTAACATTAATTTTCTAACTTAAACTCTAAATTATATAAAATAGGTTCAAATTTTACCTTGTCAAATTTATATTTTAAAAGGAAACAATTATAACTTGTTTTAAAAGTTCTGCCTTTGAGCTATTGTAAATTCAAGAACCGATTTTGATTTATATGTGAAATAAAATCGGTTATTATTTAAGTTAAACTGGATGAAATTTAAACTGAATTACATGTATAATGTACTTTGTTGGTTGGCAAGAACTCTGATTAGACAAAAGAATTTTTTCTATGAAATTTAGAACAAGAGTAAAATTAATTACTTTTAATGTAAAAAACTTTAGTTATTACTATATATTTTGATTTTGCAAGAATTGCTTTTAATAATGATTGCAAATATGTATTTGATCTTATGCTTCAATTTTGTAGTTTTATTATAAAAAATTTTTTTTCAATATCTTAAAAAAAATTTGAATAAAAAAAATTTATTGTAACATAAAATTATAAAATATGCTTTGCTATTGAGAAATGTGCGGGTTTACTGATATTATTTTACCAAAGAGTCATATAACCCACTCAAAATACCCGAGTATTTTATATAGCATATTTTTTTTTAACCGAACGGCATTTTATATAAGACCGTACAGAGTACCCCAATACAAGATACCCATCACCGATCAAGATACCCACGGGTACTTCATAAGTTTTTTTGTTAGATTGTATTGGACTCCGGGTACTTTGGTCAGCACACTACGGTATATTTTTTATTGCATGTAATACTTATTTTACAGATAATTTTATAATTATAATGTCAACACATTCAACATTATTAAATTTTCGTTTGAATATTTGCCCAGTATATTTGGTATATATTTAGTTTGCACGAAAATTTATGGATAAGTCTGTATAAATTAGGTTTTATAATAAACATATTACGTACACGAATTTCAACCAAAGGTACCGATATTCGTACGCATGTAGTCTTATAAATTTATATTACTCGCCTAACCTTAAATTACGTGTACGTACATACGTACAGTACATATATCAAATTTATTGAATCTATATATTCAGATTTAAAGCTGTTTTCATAATTCCTAAACACCTGATAAAAATTTGTCAATGGTTTTTTTGCCGATCCGGATTTCGGCATGATCGGTACATAACGATAAATTACAATTTATGTTATAATATACTTATAGATTACATTGTAATTTGAAATATATGTTTTCGCATAGACTAACACTGAACATGTTGGGCAAGTATTTAAACAAAATTTAGTAATATTGAACGTGCCGACATTTTATAATGTATCATATATAATGCATATGTCTTTTATATATATGGATATATCAGTATATAGGTGGAAATTTGCGTGTAAATTTCTGATATGCAATTTTTGTTATGTAATTTACCATATGGGCGGAAATTTTTAGTGGAGTGCTGGTGACTATATAAAATTATGTGATATAACAAAGTAATAGGTCATTTG